CGATTTCCTGGACGAAGAGTATTTTTTGGAGGAGGATGACGAGGACGAGAGCCGGAGGGAAAAGAAGCTCGAGCTCTTGCTCAAGCTCCAGGGTAAGGATAACGATGGCGAGGACGAGTTGACTCCGAGTCGAACTCGGCGCGTGTCTCACGCTCCCGCTGCGTCAGCTTCCTCCTCCGACTACGATGACGACGGGAAACCGTCGAAGAAAAGGAAAATCCACGGCGATGACGAGGAATACGAAGAAAATGACGATGATAACGAAAATGACGACGAGGTACTAACCCTCTGGAATCCGAGCTGAAAAAAACCCAAACTTTGATAGCTGCATATAGTAGAGGAAAGCATTCCCCTAAGCGATTGAGAGAGTGGGAGTCCAGCTCAGCTCAGCTCAATTCACTGAGATTTTCTAATTGGTCCAAACTTCTATATAGCACTGTCCATATGTAAATCTATGTCGGGATTTATAGATATATATATAACTGTCAGGGTCAACTGTCAAAAAGAAATCCCCACAGAATCTATTCACGCTACCCACTTCTCTCTATCTCTCTACAGGCTCACCACAGGGCTCCGTATAATAAAGGATACACACACACACACACATACATACCCGCTGCCTATCTGTCTCTGTCTATCTTGTGCCGCAGTTGGTGATACATGCATTTATTTAGGTGTCTTTGAGGTTAATGTTTCGTGGAACTTTCTACAGGTACGAGAAAGAAAAGCAGAGTCCAGAGGCGTTGAATCTTCTCCAGGGACGCCGTCGGAGCGGCCGGCTGGGGTTCCGTTGCCGGATAAGAAGACGCTAGAATTGATTCTCGACAAGCTTCAGAAGTAGGTGTTGGGAATCTTTTTTGGTTTGGTCATTGAGGGCTGTTATAATGTGCAATTTATTTCGTTATTTTATTGCAGGAAAGATATTTATGGTGTGTATGCGGAACCGGTTGATCCTGAAGAGGTAAGTACGAGGATGCTGAGGTTTACTTTACTTTTTAGATTAGTACTTAGGTTTAGTTTATAATATTGCTGGGTTGGTTGTCTTGCTGCAGCTTCCTGATTACCATGATGTGATTAAACATCCAATGGACTTTGCAACTGTGAGGAACAAACTGAGAAATGGATCGTATGCAAGGTTGGAACTGTTCGAGGTAAATGTCCCATTGTCAACCTGTTTTGGTAAATATTTTTGTTTTCTGCTCTCCGGAGTGAAGAAGAACAATTTGGGGTTGCTAAATTGGTTTTTGTTAAGTTCACTTCATTACTGAAAGTCTGAAATTTTTGCTCGTCTATCGCTTGAATGTGCTTTTTGTGCTTAACTAAAGATTCTGCATTTGTGGTTTCTCCTCCCTTTTGAATATTTTGGAGATTAGTCTATGCATATAATGAGTGGAAGAAACCGGTAGTAGAATTCAATCTTTGTATGGCCTATATTTTTGAATGAAGCATTGAACTGAGAGTGAATTGTAAGTATTGATATGATACTTGAGGTCTATTTTCTGCTACAAATGCATTTTAATTTGCATTATATTCTGAATATTTTCTATTGTTTCAGAGTGATGTCCTTTTGATTTGCTCGAATGCGATGCAATACAATGCACCTGATACAATATACTATAAACAGGTAAGCATTAATTTCCCCTTAATTTTTCCATGTTCTTTTTAAATCTTTTCAGCTCATTATTATGCAATTGTTTTGAATAGGCTCGTTCAATTCAAGAATTAGCTACCAAGAAATTTCAGAAATTACGATCCAGTGCTGAACATACAGAAAAGGACGTCAAGTCAGACCAGAAGCCAAAATCCAGTGCTGTTGTGAAAAAGCTTATAAAGAAGCATATAGGCCGGACGGTGCAGGAACCTGTTGGGTCTGATTTCTCATCTGGTGCAACCCTTGCAAATGCTGGAGGTATACAGAGTGGTTCAAATGCCTGTCCAGGCACCTCTGGTAGACCCGGCAGCATTGATTGGCCTATCGAGGGAAATTCTTTCTTGACTGACAACTTGGACAAGGAAGAATTGCATTCAGGTAGTATGTAAACACCCAAGTTGCTTTGGCAGATTCTATTTCCCTGTGGTTCTGATTTATTCTCTCTGTTTAATGCAATAGGGAAGGGCCCTATTTGTAGATTTGGAAGAAAAGCAGCTCTACAAGATGAGAATCGCCGTGGAACTTTTAACGTATCATCTCAATCTGCCTCAAGTTCAGAATCTGTGTTTTCAACTTTTGAGGGAGAAAGAAAGGATCTGATTCCTGTAAGTAGACTCAATAATTGTTGACTGTTGAATGCACAACGTTATGCTTATTGTCTTTTTTCTTGACTAGGTGGGGCTCTATGCTGATCATTCATATGCTAGGAGCCTGGCTCGTTTTGCTGCTACACTTGGGCCAATTGCCTGGGAATTTGCGTCGAGGAGGATTGAGCAAGCACTGCCTCCTGCGTTCAAATTTGGTCGCGGATGGATCGGGGAATATGAACCACTTCCAACCCCAGTGTTGATGCTCAAGAACTATACTCTGAAGGAACCCTCTTTTCTGGCCAAATTTAGGCAGAAAATTGATGTTGACAAGGAGGATAAGATGGAACCCAAGAAGAATCTGGTTTCTGTGAAGGATAACCCTGTCACAAGGCCCACCATTGAAGGGAAACAGCACTATGTTGGTTCAGCTGGATCAAAACCTACAGCAAATAATACCAATATCTCAAATACTGCTAAGGAGCAGCATAATGGTGATGCTAACATTGAAAGCAAACCATTTTTCCTTTGTGCTTCTGGAAACAAACCTCTTAATTCTGCTAGTCCCAAATACCATGCTCAAAATTTTCACTCCCAAAATTTCATTGAATCTGAGAAGAAGCTTTTGAAGCATGATGAATTAAATGCTCAACCACTAGCTACCAACCGAAGCAGTGCTGAACAAAGTAAGGTAACAAGTAACATTGTAGTTCCTAGTCCAAGGTCAGTCAAGATGGCTCCAAATAACAGAAATCCGTTGTCTTCTGTGTGTTCTGAACAACTGAATATCAATGGTTTTTCTGCCGGGGGACTGCCTAACGCAATGGGTTTGAGTAATGGTAATGGGGCTGCTGGTGTTTCTGCTGGTGGTTTTGCTAATAGTGGGAACAAGGCTGCAACTTTATTTCCTCGTGGACAAGAGCAGGGCCTTGGTAATCCTGTCCACATGATGAGGATGCCATCTGAGAAGTCTCAAAACCAACAACATAAGTCTTCACAGCAATCCAGAGTTGATTCATCTCCAGTTTCCCCTGCTACTCCTACGCGAAGAGGAGATGATTCGAACAATGCTGCTGCAGCTGCTGCTCGTGCATGGATGTCGATAGGGGCAGGAGGTTTTAAACAGGCTAGTGACAACACAGGCACCAACAACAGTCAAATATCTGCTGAATCCTTATATAATCCCTCCCGTGATCACCAACCACAGAATTTACAATATCGCGGAGAATTTCCTGCATCTGGGATGCATTTCCAGCCTGGTAAGGGCAGTTTTCCCTTCAACGCCTTTGTGCCCCCCCATATGTCTAGAGCAGGAATCGAAGCTCAGATACCAAACCGACCAATGGTTTTCCCACAATTAGTAGCTGCCGACTTGTCTAGATTCCAGGTGCCTTCTCCTCGGCAGAATCTCAATACACCTGCTCAGCCAAGACCAAAACAGGAATCACTTCCTCCTGACTTGAACATTAGTTTTCAGTCTTCTGGGTCTCCCGGCAGACCATCTTCGGGTGTTTTGGTCGATTCTCAGCAGCCAGACCTTGCCTTGCAACTGTGAGTTTTGAAGATGGGATTACTGTGATGATGCCAATTCTACAGTTTGGCCATTTGAAGTGATCTGAAGCTCCATCTTTTCCATGAATCAACAGCAGTTTGTACTTAATCCATGCCGGGCATTCCATTTCTCCTGTTTGCTGTTCTTTCACGACACACCATATTGTGTAAAGGTATGCCCAAGCTTATCGGAAAAAAACATTTCGGTATTAGTCAACAGGCCACCTCTTCTAAAAAGGATTGCACCCCAATCACAAGATAACGCTGCCCTTCTCGAAATCTAGTAGGATAACCAAGTTTCAGGGAGAAATGTTGTAATAATATTGTAGCTGTGTAGGACTGTAGGTCATTATCTGGTCACCCACAAATGGAATTAGCATTCTTGTACATTGATCAAAGGAAGATTGCTTTCAGATTCGCTTTTTTCATGCCCCATGCAATCACATTTCCTTTCTCGTACTTGTGTATTCTCACCATTTGATTTTTTCCCCCAAAATTGAAAGGAAATTATATTACAGATCTACGAATCCTGACATAGGTTGCAACCCGAGAGTAATAAATATACATCTTTTTCATCAAATTTGTGACCTGTTAATCTGTTATTGATCACAAGTTTATGACACTTAATCATGAGACTTTTGGCCCTATGCTAATTCTGAAACCGACTGCATATAATGCACCGGGAGCCTAATATCTACACATCTTTTAACTATACGCAAATAAACCTAATTACCTTGAATTTCTCAATTTTTGCCTCTGTTTTTGAGTCTCCTCGCCATTGGAATTGCCAGACAAAATGAAATTGGAAGCTTTCGCTTTGGCCTTTGCTTCTCCGTGATTGAATTACGGCGAAACCTTTGCTTCTCCGTGATTGAATTACGGCGAACACAAGCGTCGCCGTCGCAGATAATTCGGTTTGATCTAGCCGGTCCCGGTCTGGAACGGGTCCAGAAATCGAAGCAGGCCATGGAGAAGGGAAGATACTTTCGTCTTGGCTCTGAGGCTTTATAGTTACATTTTGTTCTTGTCATCCTTTATATAATACCAAATATTCTTACATCCCGCGTTTAATTCGCGACGGTCAAAAACAAATAGAGGCATTTTTGTAATATATTTTTGGTTTATATTTCGTTCAAGATCAATTTTTGCCTTTCATTTGAGCGAGGAGGAAAATTCACAGTACAGGATAAAATCTCACTTTGTAATTCTAATTGGCGAAGGAGAAGTAAACCAATCTAGATTATCCATAATTGACTGGCCTTAAATCAAGAAAGGCTTATAGGCTGCCCCTGTTGAATCAATTTGACTGGATTAACAATTTTTGCTATTTTTAGTTGTATAGCCCATGATCTAAGCTAGCACTGACACAACAGATTAAATCTCTGTACATACAAAACCTGATATAAGAGCTATCAAGTTGAAGCAGACATGTGACGAATCGAAAAAATCTGACCGAGACTTGACTGAATTAATCGAAAAGTTTAGCATTTCGGTTCTTCCTCGAGTTCTTTGGAGGGATCAGAGGGGAAATCATATCTGCTGAAGACTCTGAATGCTGAGATTGCAGCTAACACAATGAAGCAACAGAGGGCAATAGCAAGGAGAACAAAAACCAGCTTCAATCTGTCACAGAACTTCCCATAAGAAGTGCAGGCTTCACTCCATGTCACCCCTTGATCACCATGATAGACCAAATAAAGAATCTCTGCTAATGCACTCATTGATGTTACCAGCAAGTATGCTATAACCTGTGTATATTAACCATACAAAGAAACCACTTTCAACTAAGAGACAAATTGTTCAAGTAGGAAGGGTCTCAATCCTTAAGTATAAGGTCAAAAGTTCAAACCCATGCCCTAAACAGAGTCGACAAAATGTCGGATCTATTAGTCTTATCAAATACTTAAGTAGTATGCAAGAAAATTAAAAGAATGTGACCAAAAGGTGTTGGTTCAAGTATAACCCATGTATGAGACTAGATTTGTTTTTTTGAGTTCTACTGACACTGTTACAATGTAGTATCTGTTTATAGTTACTTGAGTCAATACGGCCTCCACTAGGGCTCAAACTCATAACCTCCCATTAGACCACAAGATCGTTGGCTTAATATGAAAAAGAAACTAAGAGAAAATGTGGGATTTGCTCAAAAAGTTTACTTGATCAACCAAACTTTCCCCACCCACCCACCCCCAATGTCCTATCTATGTCACACCATTGAAACTTTGGAAGCACTATGGTGGATGATATTGTAGCATAAAGAGTAATTTGAGTAGATAATGAGAAAAAGCAAGCAAGAGATGGCCAATCAACAGAATCCGACAAGAATAAAAGACAGGAAAAAACCTGGTCAGAAACAAAGAAGAACCATGGTTTAGACACCAGACTTGTGACCCACAAGGCCACAGCAGTAAAAAGGGCATATCCACAAGATGCAGCACTAACAGCAACCGTATACCTTTCACAAGAGAGAGAAATCCCATCACAATTCACAAACAAACAACCAGAAAGAGAGAGAGAGAGAGAGAGAGAGAGAGAGATGAGAGATTTATGAGCTTACTGGAGACCCTTGAAGTCAGTGAAACTGAGCAGCACTCCATAGTCGCTATTACTCTGCTGGTTACTGATAGTCAGCCATATGGATGCAACAGTGACAGGAATGACAAAAAACCTCAAACAAAAATCCAAGATTTTGAGGTTGCAACCTCCATCTCTCAGAAACCCCATATCTCCAAATCCCCAATCACTTACAAGAATATTGCAGAACCTCCTGGGCTGGGTGGGTGGGGAAGAAGAGAACAAACCTCTGATCTCTATATATACTAATGCCCTTTCTGTACACTCTTCCAAATGCCCTACTGGGAGCCTGCCAGGTTTCTCATTGAATTTGCATTAGTGGGAAGAAAGAGAAGGAGTGGAACACCCTTTTTCAGAAGAGGAATCATGTGAAATCAGTTGGTGAGAGGAGGAGAAGGGAGAGTGATGAAGGTGGTTGGTCCAATATATAATGATGTTATCATTTTCGTCTACCCATACCAGCAAAAACATTGAAATCCACTCCCCTCCAAAACCTTTCCTTTTCCCATTTTCATTTTTGCCACAAAAAGTTCAACCCAATGGTCCGAAAGAATATTTGGGAGGATGTAAATCATGATAACTTGGTTAAATTCAGAGACTAGACCTTTGTTACACCTATCATTTTTAAGAGGTTGATCCCGCACTGTCGTAAAATTTGATCCGGATCATTGTTCCCAAACTTCACAATGTGATCAATTGAACTGCGAATGTGAACACCTTTTTCCATTTTTAATTCACACCTAAAGAAAAGAAATTAGCTTTCCTACTCCACTACTCTATCTATCCGCATTCGTCCTTCCTTATCATTTACTCCAAGAAATGACACTTACAGATTCCATGCTGTTTATATCAATTTCTTTTTCTAATTTTATATTATGTTTATAAAGTACAGTCTAATTTTTGTAATTATTTTAAAGGGTTACCAACACAAATTGCGGGGGAGAAAAAGATGTTTAGAGTTAGGAAAATCATTTACTTCTACTTTTTGTAGAAGCTAAGTCAGAAGAATTGAATGCATTAGCTGTTTTAATTTGCTTTGGGCACTCGTTACAACTTACAAGTTTCACTAACCCTCCAATCACACACAAGTTTAATGTTTCTAATCATGCTTTTTAATTTGCTAAATGCTCTTCTTGAATTCTACAAACAACTGACTTTATCTCCTAAATGTGTTTTTTTTTTTTTTTTGACAATTAAAATTTTTATGATATCTAATATTGAGTGTTGCAAGAGCACAATATTATGAAATGACCGGAGTCCACTGTGCATTATGAACCCGATTCAAAATGACATTCAAATAATGTGTTTGCAGTTAATATGTTATGTGCTTGTAAATAAATTAAAGACACATAATAAGTTACATTTAGGGAAGCACATACACATAATTTTTAGATCAGGATCCACGTCCACATTGCAAGGTGGACCTTAGTCTATAGTATAACAATTCAATCATTATTGTATGGACCATACTATCAAATAATGTACATTTAGTACACAAATAATGTAATTTTAGTATATTAAAAATATACATTATATTTTATATAATGTATATTCAATACACGAATAATGTACTTTTTGTTATGATTTACATAGTACTGTGTGAATCTTTCACACAATAATTTTGCCATACCAAATTACCAATTGATCCAGACCCGATCCATACATCAGGCCCAATATTACAATGATATAGCAAGCAGCCCAAAGACTAAGTAGAAAACTGCTTGGTTAAGTCGAAAGGCCCACATGAATGGTTAAAGCCCAATTTAAGAAAGCAAATGGGCCCAACTGCCCCATCAACGAGAAAATTAATCATGTGGAGCTGGCCATTGGATGTGGAAGTCAATCAAGAGAAAACAAAGTTGAGTTTCGCATATCAATAATAATACCAAATACAATCTTATATAGTATATTTAATTGTATCAAATAGTAGTGCTATACAATCTTATATGGTATACATAATTGTATCAATTAATAGTACTATATTGGTGTTCATAGTATCAATATAACAAAAAATAGTATACACGTATTGTACATGATATTATCGGTACCGATATCGATCGGTACGGTAGACTTTTCTTAAATACTATTTCTAAATAAAATTTTTGATATTTTTGTATAGTCGTATATTCTTGTACCGTCATCTCATGAATTATTTAATAAACTTTATTTTTAAAAGTAGGATAAATGCACTTTTAAAAAAATTAATTGCAAGTGATCAAGCCTAGTGGGCATACAAGCATGATGGCAATAGCTTTGTACTGTGGATGAAAATTATATATACGAAATAGGGGTTCAGCTGTCATCATGACAGTGAAAGCAAATCAATAAAAATAATGAAACGAATATATTATTATAATTATTATTATTATTTTTTGGAGTAACTATAAAATCTATAATTATAATTGACAAATTAAGTAAAAGAGGTAAATTACATTAAGAAGACCATGTACAACAATTCTGCTAGGAGAGCATTGGTTGGTATGAAAATCGTTCAGTTGTTTTTTACCTATTTCAAATTTAACCAACTTTATATATGTAATACCAATGAACTAATTTTATATTAGAATCCAGACACGATTGGCCCTAGATACTAAGAAACAAGTTGTAGCATTCTTGGAATAAAACAAAAAGTATATGTAATACTTGTTTTGCGGCATAGCAAAGTTGAAGAAGTTGGTGGTACATCATTTTCAGCTCTCACATTGTTTTATTCTGTGATTCCTCTACAAAACATCTCTCTCTCTGTATATATGGCCCTGTCTTTCTCTCCAAAATCTGGTCATAAACTTCCGGCTTTTCATTATTAATTATCACTGCTGCATCAGGCCTTGATATGCCCCTTTCAACTACCATATATATATATATATATATAAATTAAGAATTTTTTTTAGTACTACTGACTCTGATTTATTACAATGTAATATATATATTAATACATACTTTTTTAACGGGTTTTAAAGACTGTAAAATTTGTATCACTTTTTCATTTTTATAATTATGGAGTACTTTTTTAAAAAATTCGTGAGTATTGTTGGTCCTTGGTTTTTGATTTATTTTTGAAATGAAAAATTACTTTAAAATTAAAAAAATACAATGGATGGCATTCCAAGATTTACAAGACAACAGTTTATGTACATTCAAGAAGCTAATTAAGGGATATTTTATCACCCCATACTACTACCAACCCTACAAGCTAATATAAGAAAATTATCATATCCAAAAGACAAACTTGAGAGCTTTTGATGATGAAAATTAAAGGAGCAACAACACTACATACATGGGATTTGCATTAAACAAACACCACATTTCACTTCAACACTACTATTATATTCAAAACATCATGGAAGGGTAATGCATGATGTTTTGATGCGATCCGATGTTTTGATACGACTAATCATGTTCGTGACAGACTGACAATTATTCAAGAAAACCGGTTCGGGTCAGCACGGCATTTCTAACTCGGCTTATGTCCCTTCCTTTCAGTGTCCTTCCAACGCCTTCACACACCGAGAAAGAGGATATCTGACTCCTCGCATACTTCCTCGCAAGCCATTCGTGCGGCGGCATCATTTCTCCGCCATTTACATCGTCTTCGTCCCCGTCACTTTCCCAGCTACTCCTCAAAAAACCATCGCCGGCGGCGGCGGCGGCGCCGTAGATTTTTGACCAGTCAGGTATGTTGACAGGCGCTGATGAGTGTTGTTGATGGGCCATTTTGGGTTCTCTGTTGTTGGACCTTGGGATCATTTTGGCGGCCGTGGATATGCGCCGCCGGGTCGTGGACGACGGCGATGACTCATCGTCAGCTTCTCCGCCGCCGAAAACCCCCCAGATTTCTTCTTCTTGAAGCTCTTCTTTCCTGAACGACGTCCACCCACTGCCACCTTTCCTGAACGACATCTCCGGCCTGCACAAATCATGTCTACGTATCAGATTCAATTCAGATCAATTTACAACCAAAAAAGACTTAAAACTCGACCAAGACTGACCAGAATCTTCTTCTTCTTCTTCCTAGGAAATATCAAAAACCCTGATACAGATAACTCTCTACTGCAGATCGGTCAGAAGATACTCCAAAGATGTTCAGCTTTTAATGTTCAACTCTGTTTGTGATTATCTTTAACCTTTTGCAGAGAGTTTAATTTGTTGATGGTGGCCTGGGATTATCTTATCTGATCTGATCTTATGGAGGCGCAGAGAGAAAAAAGTGGAACAATGAGCAATCAACAGAGACAGAAGAAAAGAAAAATCACACTTTTGTATATATGTACCTAGTCACCTACACTTCTCCTAAATAAATTATAGCCAGGCCTCTACGAGTCTACGTATATAGGCTATTAGTAAACTTTTTATTTTATTATTTTTGATACATTAAGTTTTTCAGTGTAATAATTTGTTTTTGAGTACTATTGACTCTATTATAATGTAATATCTGTTATAAAGAGTCAATACGGTCTCCACAGAGGATCGAACCCATGACATCCTATTTGAAAGAGTCACTAGACTACATTTAGATTTTCAAAATTCTTGTCCAATAGTCTTGGGAGGAGGTAAATTGCAACTCGCAAGTTGCATGGTCAGTCTCTAAGTTCTCACATTTTGTTGAGTTGACCGTGCACTCCGTGTATAAGAGGTATTCATCATCTCTAGTCGGTCAAAATTCTCTAGTGACCCACAAATTCCTAGTAAAATTTGAATTATTACATTATTGTTGTAGCAATGTTTTAGGGTGATTTGTTGAATATTAGTTTTGAAATCAATATTATATATAGTATTGTTGTTTAAACAAATTTGAAGCACAAACTAACCTATTTGGGTGGCGTGTCTAGTTGGTGAAATGACAATTAGAAAAATGACTTGTGAGAAATAATTAAAAGTGGGGCATGTGGTGTATGTAGGGGCAGTAGAGATGAATATGATTGATTAATATTCAATGAACATGAAGCATAATTGAGTAAGGTTAAAGTATATATGAATGTAATGTATTGATATAAAAACAAAGGTAAGTTGTGGGCTCGAAAAGTGTCGGTAGGGACTAGGGATAGAAGTAATTCACATAAGTAATGTGTACGAGTTTTAGCTCGTCAATTATGGTAACATAGGTAATTAATTTATCTCTTTGTATTTTTTACTGACTAAGGTTATATGATGAGTTTCACTTAAAATGCACTTAAATTATATTGCAAAAGTTTTTCATTATGTATGCATATGAAATCCAATACAAAATCAAAATCTTTAGGGGGCGTTTGGTTCAGGTTATATAACATAACTAAGGGAATGTGACATTCCAAAGCTCACATTCCGGTGTTTGGTTCATATTATTTTAGGGAATCTAACATTCCCAAGGAATGTCACATTCCCTCCACATAGGATTTTGAAGGGAATGTGATTCCCTTCAAAATCTCAGGTAATGTAAGATAACCTTGGTTATGTTAGTTTATTTTATATATATAATTAATTATTTTTGTAATTATATATTTTTTTTATTTTTATTATGTTATGTTAGCATATAAAATAATTTTGTTTCTCAAGTTTAAGATTTTAGTTAATAGTTTAAAATCATGTAATTATATATGATACCGTTATCTTATTTATTTATTTTAATTTTTAAATTTATTAAAATATATGAAAATATGTTAAGGATATTATAGTGTGTATAAAAGATAACCTCAAACCAAACATGATTATATTACATACCCCAATTTTAACCAAACACAGGAATCTAACATTCCCAGTAATCTAACATTCCCAACAATCTAACATTCCCTAAGGTAATCTGACATTCCGTGAACCAAACGACCCCTTAATGTTCGTGACAAGAATTAAACTCCTATTTTTTAATTAAAACTGCCGATAATCACCCGATTCACTGATGTTGCTTTGATACCAAATAATACAAATTCAAGTCCGAACTATGCATGTACATACTACGAGAACTAGTTTATAAATATAAATTTAGTTTAAGTCTTATATTTTGGTAGTACGCATCATCTATTCATCTTATAAACACTTGATAGATTTGACAAAAAGTATTTAAATCAAGGGGAATTGAAACAAATTGTTTATGTTTATGTCATCTTTCAATAGATGTTTCCTAGAAATTTTCTCAAATAGATCTTTTAATGTATAATTAGGCTTTTAAAAAACCTTATCTGCACCTCTGTTAGTGGTGCTTAAGTGCGATGCAGCTGTACATTTGTTTGTCTTTTATGTTTAATAGTTAATACCACCTCATGCGCTATACACAAATTTTCAATGAACATTTACCGCAATACAACCGGTAGAATTTCCTTACCCGATTCTCTCCCCATTCTTACTTCCATAGGTTTCAAGATTCTAAATTCGATCCCTGTACAAATTTAATCTTTTCAATTTGAGTTGAGTAATTATGGGTAATCTACATCAATTTATTTTTTTTTTGATCATTTGTCAATTGAGGCTATATTTGGAAAACCTAACTGAAAAGGTAGCCGAAAGCTGAAAAACTATAAATGACAAAGATGAAAATAAAGTTAAGAAACTTTTAACTTATTTTGAAACGCTACTTTAGGTAGCGTTCCAAAATAAATTTTAATTTTATTTTAAGCTATGAACTTATTTTGAGAACATTACCAAACAAAACTTATAACTTATTAGTAGCTTAAAATAAATTATAAGCTCTGCAGAGCCTGAAGATACAAGCTTAGTTTCACCTAAAGTATATTTCGAATAGCATGCACTACGAACTTCCTTCTGCATACAAATCTTCTCCCTCCCCTCTTACTTTAATTTGACTAATAATCATCTAATCTTTTAACTTTTCTAGAAACACATGTATACAAACTCAATAAAGGTTAAACTATATGACTCATCAGATAAGAAAAACTCATCACCTAATGTGTTCCATTTTGATTGGTGAATAGGGAGGGAAGGGTCTTTGCCCCATCTCTTTTCCATGACACAAAGCTTGTTAGCTAGGTATGAATCTTGCTTGGGTTTGGCCGCAAATCATTTTCTAAGACAATAATATATAATACTAATTAACAATTATGAACTTTAATTATTTGTGCATCAGTGCATGCATGGCTGCATGCTCTACACACTAGTAAATTTACAAAATGTAATCACGTGATAAACAAGGTGACAACATCTATTGAAAATTGTAAGATGATATTGTATGCGTTGGTCGATTTAGATGTTAAGATTTGATTGTGACATGGGACCTTAGGAGACCCATTTTATTGGAAAAGTCTTGACCTAAGTAGGGTGTTTATTTTTATTAATGTGGTGTTAGTCCAACAAGAATAATGAGAATCTATTGAGCTAATAAAAGAAGGAAAGATGGAACAAAATAAACAAAGGAGGTGCTGCCAAGGATATTGAACCCATAACCTCCCACTTAACAACAGAATTGTGGCGGCAAAGAATGGATATCTTCAATGCGAGTTGGACCCGGGACTTGCGGAAACTCTCGCTTGCAAAGATGTTTTATCTTAGATTTATAGTTTGAGGTTGACTCGAGGTCTTGTGAAAACTAATTGCTTGACTTTAGAGTAGGCTATTACAACAAAGCATTTTGGTTTAACGTATAGAGATGTTATTGTTAGAGATTGTGTTTCCCTTATGAATAATTTGAATCTGTTAAGATCGCTTAGGTTAGACGCTCCGCTAATTCGGTGGCTCATGCTATTGTCGTTAGAGCATCAGGTTACAGTTCTGAGCAGTGCGTGGACTGAGGTACCCCTTATTGTTGATGCTTTGATTGTATATTAATAGTATTTTTCTGAGTTCCTTAAAAAAAGATATATGTATAATATTACTTTTTTATATCAATTAGACTACAATGAATTATCTTTCCTTTCCATACATATTATCTCTTTTTCCCTTCACTTTGTGATAAATGACCACAATGAGTCAATAAAGTATTTTTCTTTTATTTGATTTATTGGGATGCCTACAATAACTAGTAAAGTCCCGTATATCAGTAAATAATTTTTACAATAAGTTGAATTACTTTATAATTATTAAATCAACTGTGTTATTAACTCAATTGGAGTTACCAATTAAGTCATCACACTATATTATAATATGATATGGTATGGTATGGTATCAAGTTGTTAGCATCTAGAGACAATTGTCTTAAAAACACTATTGAACAGGCACAAGTATTTGTAAAATGAATTTTTTTTTTTTTGAAAACTAAAGAACTTTCACCATTAAAACAAATGTTCAATACAATCAGAAATAGTATTAAGCCAAATTAAAAAATCAGAATTAGAACGAGCTGCAATGAAGTGTTTTTCAATTTTCAAGTTAGTATGCAAAATATATAGAAAATACATACAGCCAGCATGCAATGAATCTGCCTCGTACGTTTTCAGACAAATCAGAAGAATGATGGCGACAGTAGTGGACAGAGGTAGATTTTGCAGCTGGCCTGCCTGTCGTTAAGTTACTTCAAATTGAAGATCATCGAGGAATTCAACTCTCACTTGTCTTCGTTGAAAACGAGCGTTAGTAGGGAATCTTATCATAGTATCTTTGGCAGTTTTTAACAGTACAATAAAGGGTGGTAGATCCATTTGTACGGTACAAAAGCCGATATTCCTTTGACTGTTGCCCCCGCTGTCCCTCATCCAACGGCTGGTACTTCGCAGTCAAACACACTTGTCAAAAACGTGCTTTTTTATCCCCACTAGGTGCACCCACCGTACGTTACCCAGGAACAGAATATTTCTGTTGAGGGGACGAACAAGTAGAGACGAATTCAGAAAATTTGGTCTAAAGACGAAATATTAAAATAAAAGAGATAATTTAAAAAAAAATTTATATAAGAAATATAATTGTAAATATTGTTAGATATGAGCGAAAAATAAAACACATTGAAACTTTATAAAAATATTCATAACAAAATATGAAACATAATTAATATGATAAAATAATTTGAATAGAAAACACATTATAAATTACACATCTTATTATTAATATAAAAGAATGTTATATATATATATATATATATATATATATATTTGTGTGAGTATTAAATATTAAAAGTATTAAAAACGTAGTCATATGAGAAGGAGTCAAAAAACTGTAAAAAATATGTTGATGTCAAAAGATTCAAAATTAAAATGTGTATTATATATACATGCAAAAATTATATATAGAGTGGGGTGTGGAGTGTGGGGTGAGGGAGGACAGCTGCCCCCTTTGGCTTCGTCCTTGGTTCCCCTAGTACGCAGTAGATCAGAGGTGATCAAATCTCGAGTCTTAATTTTATTGATTCTAGATTTGGAGCTCTTCGATGAAGTCTCGGGGTAGGCCCGCTTAAGACAATAACAAACGTATAGTAGTTAATAGATTCATTACTAGTTAGAAAACAAGAAAAAATTATAGCCACTATATGGGTACGGTATGTATCGTGCGTATGCTTGTTGGGCATTGTTAATGCTCCAGACAGCACTAGCTTGCCATTTTTTTTTTTTACATGCTAGGCTACAAAACACCTCATTTTGCAACATCTTCTCTCTCGCTAAAAAAACAAAATCAATACATTATAATGTCATTGTTGGGGATGCTTTTAATATATAGCAGTTGAACATATGTGCTAGTTAAACTTTACTCCGAATAAGAGTCAAACTTTATTAATGCAATCAGGCTTAAATTTGAGTTAGTTTTATAGTAATAAGAATATCAGTGTTATATGCCAAAATAAATAAATAACTGTTGAACGTATATGCATTGCACCGTGGTTGAGACCTCGACCTGAAATGGCGATTTTCTTTACTGCAATGCTGGGGTTAAATGGGCCTGGGCCATTCAGGTTAGTGATTAGCCCAGAAGTAAAATATCCATTTTTCTTTGTTCGTAATAAAATTCTTTAAGTGGGCCTTGGTCGGCCCATTTATGCACCATAAGTTGACAGGTAACATACGTAGCGCCGAAATTAAGGTAAGATCGTGTGTCGGCCACATCCACGTGTCTTGTCTTCCTCACATTTGGGCTTACTTGGCATATATACTTACACAGTTGCACATATATATATATATATATATATATATATATATATATATATATATATATATATATATATACTTCCATTCCAATCCATTTTCCATCCTAATCTTACAAGCTCAATCTATGGGTACGTTTAACTTTCGTTAAGTTTAATGAAGTTGTCAAGCTTTGATATGATGTTTCAACGTCGTGGAATCTTACTGGGTTATATTTGTATGTCAGCTTCTGAACATCATCCTTTCAGAGGAATCTTTACCAGTCTATCCAAACCTGGAGGAGGCGGCGAGTACGGAAAATTCTACAGTCTTCCTGCTCTAAATGATCCACGAATTGGTATCACCTCACCGGATTTTCTGCGTTGAATTGATATGTTGATCTTCAATTTATTCTTGAAAATCCGGTCCGGTTTCATGAGACTTTCGATCAGTTGGTTAACTAACTAACTGTACAGATTTCGATTCTCATTCAGACAGGCTTCCATACTGTATCACTGTACTTCTGGAATCCGCTATACGAAACTGCGACAACTTCCAGATCACAGAGGATGATGTCGGCAGGATCATCGACTGGGGAACAACTTCGGCAGACCAAGTTGAAGTTGAGATTCCCTTTAAGCCTGCTCGTGTTCTGCTACAGGTCGGTGACGTCACAGTACAGTGATCATGAGCTTTTTCCTGTTTAGTTTACAATGTAAATGTTTATTTATATCTATAAACACTTAATTGCATGTTTAATCTTAGGATTTTACTGGAGTTCCAGCTTTGGTTGACCTTGCTGCCATGCGTGACGCCATGAATGAACTCGGGAGCGACCCTGATGCCATCAACCCTTTGGTATTTTCTTCAACTTTTTTTTTTTTTTTTTTTCTCCAAGATGACGAGAGAAATTTGCAGCTACTATGCTAAGGTGTGCACTGAATAAATTTTGCTTTGTGATTTTAGACTGTAAAAATCAGTTTAGATTGTCCATAGTTGAAATTTCAACCAGATAGCTCCCACTGGAGTCAAATTGTAAAGGTTACCATTGATCCTGTCTTGTGAACCTAACTCCCACGGGAGTCAAATTGTAAAGGTTACCATTGATCTTGTCTTGTGAACCTAGGCCGCGTAAACTAATCTAGACGGTCCATAATTGACTGGCTCAATCAAAAAGTCTAATAGACCGCTAGACCGCTCAAACTGTAAAGGTTACCAGGTCAAAAACTAACCCCATATTTCAACTTCTTCTCCTCACAACTCCTGTTGAGGATGAATATTGTATAACACAACAAATTTATATTCTAGTACCAGTTTAAGGTTTTAGGTGATAAAAGATTGTTGTAATTATGTGCACTGCACTGCATTTGTTGGTCAAGGTTCCAGTGGACCTTGTGATTGACCATTCAGTTCATGCTGACCTGGCAAGATCAGAAAATGCCTTGAAAGCCAACATGGATTTAGAGTTCAGAAGAAACAAAGAAAGGTTTGCTTTTCTGAAATGGGGATCCACTGCCTTCCACAACATGCTTATCATTCCTGCTGGTTCTGGCATAGTCCACCAGGTATATATATATATCTGCTGTAGCATTCAGCCTGCATACAATTCTAAGTTGCCATAAGCATATGTTTGGTTCAAATTAAGATTAATAATCAATGGTGTTTGCCTGAAACAAGATATTCAGCGGACAAGTTCCACAATTTTTCATTTTGTAACGTGTCTTCAGGTTAACTTGGAGTATCTTGGACGAGTGGTCTTCAACTCTGGCGGCCTGGTTTACCCTGATAGTGTTGTTGGTACTGATTCACATACAACCATGATTGATGCATTGGGCATTGCTGGATGGGGAGTTGGTGGAATTGAAGCCGAGGCCACAATGCTTGGTCAGGTATATATGTGGCTTCAATTTCGCTTCCCAGCCTTTCCTTTTTACCCATTCTGTTTCATTCAAGAGCAAATCATCCATGTTTGATGCTGTTCTGATAGCCAATGAGCATGCTTCTGCCACGGGTGGTTGGTTTCAAGATGTCAGGGAAATTGCGCGATGGTGTTACAGCTACTGATTTGGTCTTAACTGTGACACAAATGTTAAGGAATCACGGTGTTGTTGGCAAGTTTGTTGAGTTTTATGGTACCTGCAAACATCCGGTTTTTAAGCCAATATCTTCTTGTATCATACACTTGTCACTCATTTGTGTCTGTGAACTGTGGATGAATAGGTCCGGGCATGGCCACGTTACCACTAGCTGATAGAGCAACTATTGCTAATATGTCCCCCGAGTATGGAGCAACCATGGGTTTCTTCCCTGTGGATCATGTCACTTTGCAGTATTTGAAGTTAACTGGAAGAAGTGATGACACTGTAAGTTGCTTCAGTTTCTGGTTTTTTCCATACAAGCTAAAAGGGAAATCCATATATCTGCTAGCTTCTTTCCTTTACCTGTTAGATTGCAATGATCAAGGCATACTTCTATTGGGCATACTTGCATGCAAATAGAATGTTTGTCGACTATAATGAGGTAAAACTCTTTTTTTCTGCCATTCTGTTACTCCATATATGATGTGTTCCGGTAAGGCTTACAGTTAAATCTGACTAATTCATTCATTCTCCAGCCTCAAGAGCACAGAGCTTACTCGTCCTATCTGGAATTGGACCTCTCAGGTGTTGAACCTTGTGTTTCAGGGCCGAAAAGGTATATACCAATATACCATTATGCTTCATCATTTTACAAGTAACATTCTTTCAGATCTGTGAAATGTTGTCATTTTTAACAGGCCCCATGATCGCGTTCCTCTAAAAGACATGAAGGCTGATTGGCATGCATGTCTAGACAACAGAGTTCAGTTCAAGGTGAGATGTGTGAACTTAACTCAAGAGTGTACTGATTCCGTTGGTGAAGATGATCACAAGAACGGCTTGCGAAGTTATGTCCTTTTTGAGTTATGCAGGGATTCTCTGTGCCTAAGAGGGAACAAGGTAAAGTTGTGAAGTTCACATTCCATGGACAACCTGCTGAACTAAAGCATGGCAGCATTGTCATAGCAGCTATTACAAGCTGCACAAACACATCCAATCCAAGTGTCATGCTTGGAGCTGGTCTTGTGGCTAAGAAAGCGTGTGAATTAGGATTGGAGGTTATCATAACGCTCTAAATTATCTTTAAATGTGGTAAATTGTGAAACAAATAGTTATTTCCTCAAGTATTAGATATACTTACCTGATTTGCTAAACAGGTTAAGCCATGGATAAAGACTAGTCTTGCCCCGGGATCTGGTGTTGTGACAAAGTACCTGCAAAAAAGGTACAAATTCTTGTCAGCCCAAGGTTTCATTTAGTTTTGTACTCTCTCTAGCCCCCCTGAATCATACTGGATTGATAGGATTTGCAGATTTTCATTTGTCACCTTTCTTGTCGTAGTGGCCTGCAGAAGTACTTAAACCAGCTGGGCTTCTACACTGTTGGCTATGGCTGCACAACTTGTATTGGGAATTCAGGGGAGCTCGATGCTTCAGTTGCCTCTGCAATCTCAGATAACGGTATGTGTAATCCTTCACCCTTCTTTTCCACTGAATTCTTCTTGCTAAAACTATTGTCACATATACTGTGATGGAAACTCTGTATAGACATTGTTGCTGCTGCTGTACTGTCTGGAAACCGGAACTTTGAAGGGCGTATTCACCCACTGACAAGAGCCAATTACCTCGCTTCGCCTCCACTGGTTGTTACATATGCACTTGCTGGGACGGTATGTTTAAAAAGACGTGTAAACATTGTCATGTGTTTTTGTATAGAAAGCAAGACATTCTTGATGGTTTTGCATTTCCTAGGTTGACATTGACTTTGATAAGGAGCCAATTGGACCTGGAAAAGATGGAAAGAGTGTTTATTTTAAGGACATATGGCCTAGTAATGAAGAAATAGCAGAGGTAATATAATATACCTTCAGTTTCTTGTACCGATTGTTGATTGCTCCTGAATCCTGAAGGAATCTATTGAAACTGAAATGATCCTGCTATAGGTTGTTGAATCAAATGTGCTCCCAGATATGTTCAAGAACACATATGAAGCTATAACTGATGGGAATCCATTCTGGAATGAGCTATCTGTCCCTTCATCCAATCTCTATCCATGGAATCCAGACTCGACCTATATCCACCAGCCCCCATTTTTTAAGGGCATGAATTTGGATCCTTCACATCCTTGTGGAGTAAAGGATGCATATTGCTTGCTAAATCTCGGCGATGGTATCACCACCGACCAAATCTCACCGCCAGGTAGCATCCACAAGGAAAGCCCGGCTGCGAGGTACCTAATGGAGCATGGAGTTGACCCCAAAGAGTTCAACTCTTATGGCAGCCGTCGTGGTAATGATGAAGTGATGGCTAGAGGTACCTTCGCCAATATGCGCATCATTAACAAGCTTCTGAATGGTGAAGTTGGTCCAAAAACCATTCATATACCAAGTAGAGAGAAACTGTATGTGTATGATGCAGCAATGGTGAGCTACAGTCTTCCACTTTGTGTTTTACAAGCCTAGGAAATGAGTCTCTCATGGGAGTTGATGTTCTTGAGGTTTTACAGTTTTCTACCACCATTTCTGTTTATTACTGATGCATTCAGTAACTGTACAGAGATATAAGTCTGCAGGGCAGGACACCATTATTCTGGCAGGAGCAGAATATGGGACTGGCAGTTCAAGAGATTGGGCAGCCAAGGGCCCAATGCTACTGGTAACTATCTGTCCAGCATTCTATAACCATGTAGTCTTACTATTACCTTAACCTTTTAGTTTTGAGATAGAACACGTCATTCAATTCTGTCATTCTGGAATAGGGAGTGAAAGCAGTGATATCAAAAAGCTTTGAAACAATCCATCGGAGTAACCTCGTGGGGATGGGCATCATTCCGCTATGTTTCAAGTGCGGTGAAGATGCAGAAACCCTGGGCCTCGACGGTCATGAGCATTATACTATCAGCCTTCCACAGAAAATTAGTGACATAAGGCCTGGGCAGGATGTCACAGTGACATCCAACACTGGCAAATCTTTCACATGTATGCTTAGGTTCGACACAAGAGGTTTGTGCCCTGTTTCATTGGAGTAGGAAAACCAGTGTTAATTCTACTATGCAAAAACCAGTCAATATGTTTCCTCACAAATTTCTTGGTGTTGAACTGTGTCTGCAGGTAGAGCTGGCATATTTTGATCATGGTGGCATCCTTCAGTATGTAATTCGGAACTTGATAAAGCAGAAGAATACCAAGTAGTGAAGACTGAAGAGTACAGTTTATCATATCAAATTATACTCTGAGAATTTGAATTCAAATAATAAAAGCCGTACAACTTATCATCAGATTATACTTTGAGTTCTAAAAGGAAGGTATAAATATTCATTTCATAGACTAATATCATACCTATGTACATGCTTGGCCTATCATTGCCTGACAAAGGGCGTGCACTCAACACTTGAAGTGAAGGAAAACAAAGAGATGAGAATTCAAGTGTTCAAACCAGTGTATATCTTGGCTAGTTCCGGATGTGTAAGGATTTGGTTGCTTGTGAGGCAAGTGCCAGTGCCTTTGCTTTTGTGCTCATCATCACCCATTCCCTCTCTGCACGCCGTTGGCGTTGCCTTGCATTCTTGGCTCGCTTTGGCGCTAGCCGGTTATCTCTTTCTTCAAATGCAAGCCTGAATTTTTCAGCAATGGACAGTTCATCTGGGCTTGAAACCGATGGCAATAAAGTTGTGTGTGTGATCCCAGACACTGCCCACGTTTTTGGGTCAATATCTTCAACTATTGGATCATCCAATGCCACATCTAGTGTTGCTTCGCGAGGAACTTCAAGCCCCCTGAAACCCAGAGGAGAGGTCTTCGGGTTCACTATGATGCGAGGGCATTCAACATGCAGATTCTCTAACAAATGCTTCTCAATCTTGGGCTGTAGGAAAAATAAGATAATCCAGTCTCAAAACCTCATACAACATCCAACAAAGACTAGCATATAGAAAGAATGAAGAACATCCCATAAACAATGAAAAGCTACATTCATACCCACACTAGCCAACGCAATGACTGGGCACCATGAGCTATTTCTGAGGCATCAACTTCCTCCCACGACTCTCCCTCCACATCTTTGAGGCTTGGTTTCAACATACTCAAGCATCCCCGTGCAGTGTTCTCACTCCGTGGGCACCCTCTGCAACATTAACGTTGGTTCACTCCTGTTATGTGGTTGTACCCTTTGTCAAAACCCAATGTATTGGTCTTTCTCATTAATATGGGTTGACAATTATAATAAAAACAGAACTATAGATTCATTATGCATGTTGATATCTAAACCACTTCATGCAGTGTGCTCACTCCTTGGGCACCCTCTGCAACATTAACGTTGGTTCACTCCTGTTATGTGGTTGTACCCTTTGTCAAAACCCAATGTATTGGTCTATCTCATTAATATGGGTTAACAATTATAATAAAAACAGCACTATAGATTCATTATGTATGTTGATATCTAAACCTCATGAAGTGGTTCTCTCTCTCTCTCTCTTCTCAAAACACCAATTTAATTACCCAAGGCAATTCAAGAACCGGAAATCACCCTCAAAGAAAATGCAGGAATCTCCATAATTACTACTCCGTATTTCTTTTAATATTATTTGTTAACACTAAAAACTATGGAGAAAAATAAAGATTCAACCAAAAACCAAGTTTTGAAGACTTAAAACCATAATAGCAACTACAGCAGGAATAGTACATACCCCCATCTCAATATCTCCAGTGACTGACATTGCTGCAAGAGTTCTGAAACACCAGCTGATGTGACTTTGCTGCACCGACTGCACAATACATATTTCCAATATGAGTGCAGAGTTTAAAACCAGATTCAACATTTGCTTCATTGAGTGCCACATCAACAAAATTGAAAAGAGGAAAATATCGAATGCAGCTTAGAGATTCACTTATAAATTATAATAAAGGGAGAAAAATAAACATCAAATAATTTTAGGACAAGACATGAGTATTATGGTATGCTTTTCAAACTCAAAAAAAATTGAGAGCATTAGTGACTAGTGAGAACATTAAACATTAATAAGCAACACGGTTATATTTCTTTTGGTGAAATCAACATAATAAGAGCAAGTGAACAACAATACTGATAGACTGATAGTATGCTAATACCTTACATCTACTGCTTTTAGATATTTGCAAGTCTTTACCACTTCTAAGAGGCCAACATCAGAAACATCAGAACCAGATATATCAAGGATTTCCCATGAACTTTCAGCTAATGCCATGATGATATCATCATTCAATAACTTTCTCCTCCTTGCAATTGCTGTAAGTGCCATCTGTGCAAAAATGTCTCACATAAGCTTACAATATGGCTACAAATTCACTTCTTCAAGTCTTTACCAAAGTTGAAATATCAACTGGATTTTTTAAAGCTTATACTTATATATTCACGATAAATTTCATGTCTGATCTCACTGACAATTACAATTGCACAAAGTTCAAATTTAATGGAACTAATATGGTTCTAGCTTCCAAGAATATATCTTTTCTACCACATGATTAATCTGAAAATTTATGCACCATCAGATGCTATCAAGCAACTACCTTCCTACAAAAAATTCTGTTTCCATACAAGTAAAATTCATGTCTTTGGTTGCAGTGAAAAAGATGAAGGGGAGAAATAAACCTTGATATTAGGAGGGAAATTAGAAGCGATTCCGGCCAAGTCTTCGATGATATCCTCAAAATGTCTACCGATGACTCCAAGGCACAAGCTCACTAAGCTCGGAAGCTGTCTCCTCTTAATTGGCAACACTGTCATCCCAACAACCATCTCATACCACAGTTAATTTTCTCAAATCGAACACTATTCGACAAGGAACTTCAGGGAATTCACGAAATCTATACAAGCAAGCAAATTCATATCTAACAATTTGCAAATAAAAGGAAGAGAAAGTTACACGTATAGGAAGATTGAAATGGCTTTTGCAAAGGCTTTGGTACACTTAGATCCTCCGGAGCTCTTCCTTTTTCCATCGACTATGAGAGATGAAGCTGGTCGGAGATTCCGATTTCTGCTTATGGTTTCGGATTTTTTGGTTTGTTATAGTCGCCGGAGAAGAAGAAAAATTGTAACTTCGCTGCCTATTAAAAGGCTGTTCGCTCTTGCGGTCTCCCGTTGCCGACTTACTATCATTATTGGTTTTCTTTTTTCTTTTTTTTTTTTTTCCTAAATAAAAAGATATTTATACTTTTCCTAAAATACAAGAGGGAAAAAAAATATTTCCCAAAATTATAATTGTATTGGGAAAAAAATTCAAATAAATCCTCAAACTTTACTCAAAAGTATAATTAAATCTTCTAACATTAAAAAATGTCAATTAAACATTTAAACTTGTCATTTTAATATATTTAAACACAAATTTGTCATTTTGATACATTTATATGTACTTAATAGTAAACAAGAAGAAAATTACATAGACTTACTTATGAACGTGCTTTGGTATTGATGGGGATAATTTCCCGGGCTTCGCGCCCATACGAAGGTCAGTCTCGGACCCTCGGTACGAGATGAACCTGATCCGATCATCAAGGGTCTCTTCAGCAAGCCTTCCCAACCTTCGTTGCCCACCAGGCTTCACCAGAAAGATTTGAGAATGGTTCCGTGACTTCGGCTGAACCAACCTGTCTAGGTCGGGCCAACCATCAAGCACCTTGTAGCGGAGCGCTGTGCTCAGAAGAATATTGACACACAGCCAAGACCCCTTGGTCCTCAATTGGGGCCCGTGCATAGAGTCCACGTGCTCAGCATGCCGTGGGCCCAGAATCTATCCCCTAACAGCTACTATAATTACCGCATTAATTACGGTTAGGATGAACTTTTTGACTATTTCTACACTATAACTATTAGCTCAGGGTCCGAACTCAGAGCCTATCCGAGCTTGTAGTATGTATACAATACGTTGTATATACATTCCAGCTTTAAACATCATAACTCTTCCAAGGTTCAAACTAGATATGTTCGAGAGAAATCAAACTCTTTTCACTTAAATCACATAATGCTTTGCCTTTGGAAAACATGGAATAATGATTCAAATCTGTTCAAACAATCATAAGTGGCTAGAGAGTGATTGCCTTTGCACAATTTAGACACCAAAGAAAAATTACAAATGCCCAAGCTTTTACAAGAGTGTAGCCATTAACTCCAACATAAACTTAGCTGAGAAGACAACAAAGTTAAATTCTACATCAGACACAGATGTCAACATTAAAGATAAGGCAACAGTTAGAGGTCTACAGATTGCAAGTCGGCTTGAGCGGAACTGCAAACTGCAGACGATGGTTTCATGACATGCAGGCTTACAGTGTTAGATCGAACAGCTTGGGTTGCTGTTTGGTTCCTGATCTCATCATTGTGCAAAACTCTTCATAGTTGATTCTTCCATCCTGGAGATTTTAAGAGAATTAGCGGAGTTTTTTTTTAACATTTGATTCGTGAAGAGATGATAACTTACATGATCTGCATCGACTTCAGATATTATTTCCTTTATAGTTGCTGCATCAGCTATTCCGTGTTCCTTCATAGCAGTCTCGAGTTCATCTCTCGTGATAAATCTACAACAACGTGGAAGAAAGTTAGAGTCGATTGTTCAGTATTGTGCAGGATAGATATAACATTATCTGCAGCTTACACATACCCGCTGCTATCTTTATCAAAATACTGAAACGCTTTGTATAGATTCTCTTCTCTTTCTAGCCTGTGCTTGTGCATTGTAGCAGTGATGAATTCGATGTAGTCTATCGAGCCATTTCCATCTACATCAGCCTGCAAGTGTACGAAATTGGAATTACTAACCGTGAAGATCGTCTAATCATTTGAAATTAGCAACTTTAGTCTCCCGAGGTCTATTATATCTTACAGCTTCCATCAACTGCTTAACTTCAGCCTCTGTGAGATTTGCCCCGAGTTGGGCCAATCCCTTCTTCAGTTCTTCGTACGTAATTGTACCACTGTTGTCAGTGTCGATATTCGTGAACATTGCTTTCAGTCCATGAATTTCTTCTTCCGAGAGATTTTCTGCAATAAACTGGAATCCCAGAAGTCACTTCAATTAGCTACGGAGCTCAGAAAACGGAGAAATAACAGGACATACACACTAACCCAAGAGACCTGACTCTATTTGGCAGAGCTTATTTAGAAGCTTATAGCTTATTTTAAACTACTAATAAGCTATAAGCTATGTTTGGTAATGTTACTAAAATAAGCTAGTAGGTAGCGTTTCAAAAATAAGCTAGTAGCTTCCTAACTTTTTCTTCATCCTTATCCTTATTATTTTAAATAAATAACATCCTTTACCCCTCCCAATTAAAACCCTTTTGACTTTTTAGTCTTTTTACATTTATCAAAAAGCTAATTTTACCAAACACTTTTAAGCATAATCAGCTAGTTTAACAGCTCTTCAGTTTTCAGCTTCTAACTTATAGCTTTTCAGCTAGTTTGCCAAACATAGTCCTATAATGATTATGGACAGAGGTTGGGACATTAGGAATCTCAGAAAACTTATGTTTTATAGTTGTTGCTAGCTAGCATAGGAGCATACATGTAACTTTAGCCGAGAATATCAGAGACCATTCCAGCATGATAAAAGCCCAGAACCCATCTCAGCATATCATTCATATACCACAGTAAAATGAAGATGTTTGTATAATCGTTACGGTGAATTATAATTTATAATGAAGATGTTCGCTAATTCCTCAGATTACCTTCAGGGCAAGTTTTTTGAGTTTGTTCATTGCTCTGAATTGCTTCATTCTTGAGAGGACAGCGCTATCTAGTGGTCTGTCAGATGCTTCTCCATCTTCTCGCATCCATGGATGCTCTGTCAGCCAGAGAACCAAGAAGCTGATTACAACTCCAGAACATATAAAGATGAATCAAAAATCATATTTATGCCACCATAATGGAATTAAAAACAACAGACCCACCACGATCAAGCCAAAAAGACAACTTTTTTTGGTTGACATATTAAACGAGTTTTGTTCTTTAATGATTAGTTTCTGCAGCAATAATGTGTTAAACATACCAAGAACCTGGGCAGCAGTAAGGCGTCTCTTTGGGTCTGGTGCTAGCATCCCTCGTACTAGGTCCTTGGCAATGCTTGATATAGAAGGCCAAGGTTTTGTTTGGAAGTCGAGTTCTCCTTTAAGTATTGCATTAAAGATCCCCCGCTCAGTTTCTGCAGAATCAATATCAAAAAACCGTAAGTTCTATAGATACGAGCAAACAAATTATAACCAAAGAGTCAGTTGTTTGAACAAGACTATATAGGTATTCGTATTTACCAGCCCAGAATGGAGGTACACCACTGAGTAAGATATACAACATAACACCTGCACTCCAAACATCCGCTTCTTTCCCATACTTTCTTCCCAAGACTTCGGGAGCAACATAGTAAGCACTTCCGACTAAATCCTTATACACCTTTCCTGCAAAGGGATTCATCACAAAATCACGAGATATATAACAAGGAAGGCAACATAACTATCACAACTGATATCACATAACACAACTTTACATAGAATATGAACTAAGTAGATAATCGGACTTTGTTTGAGTACTATAAGTGCATGAATTGTGGAGCAATTACCTTCTTCAATGAACACTGATAAGCCAAAATCAGTAGCCTTCAAGGCAGCATTTTCAGTTTTATCAGACAACAAGAAATTCTCGGGCTTCAAATCGCGGTGCATCACACCCATAAAATGGCAAGTATGAACAACATTGACTATAGACCTGCAAAGAGAGGCGGCAGCCCTTTCGCTATAGTGGCCCTTAGCAATAATCCGATCGAAAAGCTCTCCCCCAGCACACAACTCCATCACAAGATACACAGAATTAGCATCCTCATAAGCACCCTTGAACTCAACAATATTAGGCTGCCCACTCAAGTGCTGCATAATCTGAACCTCCCTCCTCATATCATCCTTATCCCCCTTGGTCACAAGCTTTTTCTTGGAAATTGACTTGCAGGCATACTGCTTACCAGTTGTAATCTCAGTACACAGATAGGTAACCCCAAATTGACCCCTACCCAGTTCTTTCCCCAGACTGTAATGTGCCCTAACATCTTCATATGCCTTACCCAGAATTGCATCCGACTTTGAAACTGGTTTTGAGATTGATGGTGGCCGTGTAGGCAGTCCAGCTCCCTGCCCAGGTGACTTTGTGTACTCAATGTGAGTCTGATGGGGTTGGCTTCCTCCTCCTCCATGCCCAGCTTCTGATCTGTGCTTTTCACCATGCTTATGTCTGCTTGAACGGTTACCCATCTCTCTTACTCTTAGACAATAAAAAGTAGCAATTTAGCAACAGCCCAGATTAGGATTTTTACAGATGGTCCTGATTATGAGAAAAGATTTGAATTTTTTGCAAGATATTGACAATGTAATGGATCAACTAAGCTAAAAAAGCTGACTTTTTTCCTTACCGGAAATTAAAAGAGAAGAAACGCCCAGCTGAATCCTCCAAGACTAATCAGAAAGGAGGAACGTGAAGACTAGAGCAGCTTTGTATATTACAGTCGATTTACAGTATAAGACGTTGTCCGGTTTAGATAGACCGGGGATTGGCCCTTCCAAGAAAAGGGGTGGAGAGAAGAAAGAACATCCCTCTTTCGTCAACGGGTCCTGTTTAAGGAAAAATTATTCCGGAAAACACGCTTTTCGTATCAAAGATTCCTTCCTACGCGTTTGATAGTCTGTTGTTTTTTGGTGTTTTTAAGGTAATAGCTAATACTACATATATTGTATTCCAATTATAAAATTCTTCTTCAACCAATCAACTTGGTAGATTAACTGAGTGAAAAGTTAAGTTTAAGATTTTAAATTTGTGACTTTTCACTTGAGAGAGACACAATTATGTCGTTTGACCATGCTTAAATTTTAAATACGTTTTAATGCGTGAGTACATGCATTAGTGTGCACACTGATACTAATGATGTGTACGCAGAAACTTCATTTAGTTGAAGCTTTTACATGTGGAGATGTACGGTTGAATTGGAGTTTCTGGGAAGCAACATCATCATTATCATCCACGAAAAAGCCAGACAATACAAAAGTTTCAGTTCGAGGATTAGCTTATCTATAGTACTACATCTGCATACACAAATGACTTCCTACATAAACTAACAAACAAATAATAAAAGAAGCCCAACTCAATAAGCAACATGGCCATGGTCCATATATGGAGAAGAAAAAACAAGGCCTGTTTAAACAAGCCCAAAAATGTGGGCTGTTGTTATTCGGTGTCAAAGTAGCTTATCAAGCCAATGCAATACAATTACAATAATTCCTTTTGGGCCAGCTCCCGTGGAACGAAAATTAATCGGATAGATCTGAACCGTTAAACGGACAAAGAAAGAACCGAACCACAACTACAACTCAAAAAATGGGTGCTGTAGGGAGATTCATGCATGTTGTTATTCAGAACCATCTAATGATATCAATAACCATCTAATAATGATATAACAATACAATTAATAAGTCAGAATTGAAACGAATATGTTGAAATAAAGATAGAATCAAATTAAAAGTCTCATTATTATGACTAGTTAGTTGGACCTTAGCTTTCACCTACAAGCATAAACCTCAAACCTCAACAAGGAAAAGAGTTTGGTTAGGAAATAATGGTTGCATCTCTATCAATCAAAGCCAACACTATGTATGTTCATTGCTACCATAAATGAGCATGATGGACCACCCACTACGCCCCTCGATCAGCTCCATACCGCCCGCAGTAAGGGCATCCCAATAGGGAGATTTTGACTGATTTTTGCAGTTTTTACATTCATGCGAAAGAGAAGATTTGATTCCTCCTGCAAGACTTGATTTTTTTGTATGAAACCCACTGTCACACAAAAAACTCAACTCTTTCTCATCAGTTACGCGCAACTGATGCACGCTCATGCACCTACTGGGACCGTTAATTTTTTTTATTTTTTTTTTCCTTCTTTCCCTTCTCTCTCCTAATCACCGCTGCAAAAACCAACTAAAAATCTCTATCTATTGAGGATGCTCTAAGTAAGTTTCCAACTTTTTTTTAATAACCCAAGTTTTTTTTTTTTTTTGTTTGGGAACTATATTTTGGATATTGTATATACCCGTTCCTTAAATCTCAATCTAACTTCAAGACTCAACAAATGTACACTTCTACCCATAATAAGCTCAATCCAAACTCAAACCCCTAGTGTTCACGGCTTGAACCGAACCCTTACTATACCTTGCCTATAGAAGTAAGTCTTAGGTAAGACTTCTCATCCACTTGACCAATATCTTAGGGGCTAGCTATACTTTTCTTTTATTTTCTTTTCTTTTCTTTTCTTTTTTTTTTTGTTAACCCGGTTTCGCAACTTTACCAAATTAATTCATAGACCCTAGCCTATAAATTTATCCCAAATTCAATGTTCACAAGAAGGTAAATCAACTAATCAGATATGTTCAACTTTAAGACTCCATACTCCATACTTAATTATACATGTCTAAGCACAATGAGTGTAATAACTTAACCTACTTCAACTCGATCAGGAGAGCTAACTAATGGAAATGGAAATGGAAATGGAAGGCCTAACGTGACCACTACTATTCCCTAACAGCACCTGGTTTTGGGGTTCGTCATAGTTCATAACTACTCCATACAATATTTAATTGACTGAATGACGACGACCTACCTTACTTTAAATACCGAGTGGCTATGTATCACTAATATTAGTAATGATACTAGCTAGAAAAGGGAAACTTCATTTATAAATCCCACGAAAACCTTAGCCACAGGAAGATGATTGAAGGGAAATATATTATTATATTCTTCTCCCAAAAAATATTAATACTATGGATGTGAATTGAAGCCAAACAAATTAAAGTTATAGGAAAATGATATCATTGCATATCAGATTAAGAACTAAGAATATAATATTATTTACTATAAATAAAAAATGAATAATGATGATATTTTTATAAATAATACAATGTTAGAAATTTATCAACTGTTGACCATTTTTTTTTAACTAACCTTAGATGGTTGCTGAGAATTCTAACCATCCCTTAATGGTGCTGGTTAGTAATTGCCAACAATGATTTGTTGTTTTTGTCAATCTAGTACCTCCTTAAAAATTTAAACCACTTTTGGTAGTTGGTGTTAACGATGATTACTTTCCGTTGGTGATCGAGAGTGACTAACATTTCTTTGGATCATCAAACTCGTCAAAAACTCAATTTCTAATTTTAAACCCTAAGTTTCTGACTACTTTTTGGTTGTCAGGAATTTGATATAGATTTTCACCCATAACAATAAAAGTATAACTGACATCATATCGAAAGAGGTGGCCAAGTGGGTAGAACATGACTCTCGTACCTTTACACAAGAATGAAAATTATTCAATACATATCTTCACGTAATAATTGTGAATTGAATTTTTCTCATCACCTAAATAAAGTATATAACTATTATTCTATTCATAAAAATATTATAGCCAATAGTTTACAATTTTAAAGTTGACAAGCTAGCTAGGCAAGATGGCATGGAATTATAGATAGGTATGGACTACATATGCATGCACATATAGGAATCTGCTAGTTACTAATAATTTAATAGCGAATTGAATATAATATAATGTACGGTATTCAAATCAAAGTGGATAAAAGTTGTGCATGAATTTAGCAGCTATTAACTGGCTCGCTAGATACGTCAATTTATATCGTGGACCATGGTAGAGAGTACACTATAAATTCTGGTTCAATACACATAATTTGATTTTATAATATACAAAAGTCATGTTTATAATGTATAGAATTTATGTTCATAATACATATACACATAAACACTGCACGATATAATGAAGACGCATAAACACTTAACAAATACGCATAATTCATATGCATAATGTACAGAATTCATGTTCATTATATATATATATATATATATATATATATATATATATATATATATCATGTTTGTGTGTGTCTTATGAATATAAATTATGTACATTTTAAACATGAATTTTGTACATTACAAAATCAAATTATGTGTATTACGATATATAACGATTGGCTAGATACTACTCAATCTAACCAAACACCAACTTATGGGCGTGCACAATCTTTCATCAAAACCACTGCCCCATCCCGGCCTCCATCAACCATTCAACCCCACAACTTGATGAGTCGCTTTCCCATATCATATTTTCACCTTTTTCAATTCTTTCAAATAAAGTTATAAGTTTACTAATATTGATATGATGGGTCTATATTTTTTTGGACTTGAGTCATTTAAGTCGTCATTGGATAGCCGGAACAACACACGAGAAGTCCAAATGAGATCATGAAACTAGGCAAGGAACATGGTGTGGGTGTGAGTTTGCCTAGCTAGCTATTTTACATGAGAAACCATGAAAATTGTCCTATTTTACATGAGAGTATGTAGACCTGCAATTGAGGGTTTTTTTTTTTTTTTTTCTATGGATCGGAGTTAATATCCAATTTAATTTAGATCAGTCATTGATTATATTAGTGGTTTTTATCGATGACTGAATTGGGTAAAATCATTGAAGTCAAGGACCTCTATTACAAGGTAGTATTTCACTACTGGAAATTATGGAATTTTTGACCACCTGAAAGTGATCTTAAATCAAGTTGAAAGCCTTGTTCCGCGACCACTTTTGGTATCCCGAAAAACCTTTGTTGCTATTTTTGTTGCTATTTTTGACCACTTTTGCTTTCTACTTGATTTAAGATTACTTTCACGTGGTCTGAAATTTTATAATTTCCAGCAATAATGATATGTTCTATACTTTCTCAATCTTTGCAGTCCAAAGAGTCAATATCTCACTACTGGGATTCGATCTTGTGACCTTCTCTCAAAGGGAGCCACAGAGATGCCACAAGGTGGTTGGCCTTTTATGACAGAAATAATATAATATGATGGAGTTAAAATATGGTAAATGATAGAAGGCTCTAGTAAAATCTGTGCTCCGATCGGATCCACACTGGATCATCATATATGCATGCAGTAAAAACATGTTGGTCGGCGAGGCTCATGCATGCATGTCGGGCACGTGAGTGGTAGTTCTGAGCTTCAGCTCCTCTTAAATGCTTCTGCCGCTTCATCTCACACTATAAATGCCACTCTCACTTCCAAATTTCCACAGTACAGCTTAATTTCACACATTATCTCTCATCATCACCTTCAATTCTTCTCCATCCCATCCATTTTTGTTTGTTTTTTATTTTTTATTTTTTATGTCGAGTGATCAGATCAGTTCATCTTCACACTCAATTCTCGCCGGCAAACTGTTAAGGATGACGATGAGGTTGTTTTCAAGAATTGAGGGTTTGGTTCTCAGGAGTAGAGACTGCTTGTTTTCCTGGGTTTCTGCGGACATGGTTGCTTCTGCGTCTTCGATTTTGTTCCTGTTGTTCAAGAAAACTGTCTGGTCTCTCTCCATGTGCGTTCTTGCTCTAGGTATATATGCAGCGCTTCTTCTTCACACTACAAGAAAAATGCACATAGACAACGGTTAATAACCGTTGTCGTAGGGGTATAATTTCTGTTGTTGAAGCCGGTGTTGTTGTAAGTCCCGCGCATAGACAACGGTTTTTTAACTGTT